ATGATTTGATATGTTTTACTTGATGTCACGATCCAAAGTACACCTAGATGTGACATGATGTATAAGACCCCGAGAGGACCTACACACAAGACACTTGACATACATATACTCATAGTAATAGACAAGAGTAAAGCATTTCATATCAATAAAAGAGTTTGTCATTTAGAACATAAGTCTAACATAGTCTTGACAAGCCATCTATCACATCAAAGTAGTAAGCCGTAAACCACATACAACATCCAAAACATTAAAGACATAAGGAAATCAATAAAGGTGACATGGTCCTTGGAGTATGGGGACTCACCAAGTTTTTAAATCTCCAGGTGCTCACTGTCCTAGACATGAACAGAAGTAGATGAGTCATCAAGCCCTACATTAGTGAAATAATGTAGGCGCAAATATGCATTAGTACATGAAATGTACTAAGTATGGGGGATATGCATGAAAACGTAAAACATGATAATAAGGGGACATAATCTAAAACAAGATATGCATGACCAAGCTAAACATAGTAAAAACCTTTTTAGAAGAATCATAATCACGAATATGGTCAATGCATTTTATATCATAAGGAAAGCTTCATAAATTTTTTGAAAGTAACTATCACGCCCCGAGCCTACACCCTGGACGCGACTGACACTTGAGAACCATTGCTGGCCCCAAGCGAACCCTTGGCCTGGCTCAACTTTTAGCGGAAGACATACTCATCAAATAATGAACTCAAAAGCGAGTTTTAACTCAATGTCTCAAAACAAATACTCAGAACATTTTAGAAATAAAACATTCACTGGCCAAAAGAGGCAACTCAAGTCTCAACATTTAACAATGGAATGAAAAAGACTCATGCACTACTACTGTCTATCTATGAAAAAGACTAGAATCATTACCTTAACTCTTTGAGACAAAAAAAACTTAAATTTCTCCTCCCCTTTTTCCTCTTTTCTTTCTTTCTTTCTTTCTTTTCTTTTATCTCTGTACTTTCTTCTCAGTTACTGCGCTCATTCTTTTTTTTCCTCTGACTTTGCACGTTTCAACCCTGTATATTTTCTTTTTTCCTTTTTCCTTTTCTATTTTAAAAATTCATTTTGTCTCTACTTTCTTTGTCACTTTTTTTCATTATTATTAGTAATAAAATAATCATTTATTTATATCAAAATCATGTCACTCATTCCCACAAGTCATAACTTATTAATAAAAATTACTAAAATGATTAAAATAAAAAAATCAATAAAATTCACAAATAATGAGAAGGGTTGTTACACTGAAGGAGATTTGTTTCTAAATTTACTAATATCTAAGGTTTTCTTTGGAAGATGAACTATTTTTCTCTTGCTTATGAGCTCGAGGGATAATTTTTAGTTGCACTTTTCTGCATTTTGTGCATATGTTAATGAGCTCTGGTTGCCCGTAATTTAAATTCCTGATTTTACATTTAATACATATGTAGTTGAGCTTTCACAGGTGCGCAGAATTTCTGAAGGAGTCTGTGTTGGGTTATGAAGGTTATTAGGCGTCCTGCGGAAGCTTACAATTGCAAATCATAAGACGACAAATAAAAGTATACTAATGATATATTATTGATATGATTCGGTCAAATGACCTACGTATGATAAAACTAATATTGAAAAACATAAAGATGTTTGAGAGAAAATCTCATCATAAACAAGACTCTTAAACGACTACATTGTGGATTCTATTTTGTTATGCTATGAGAAAAGGAATCTTCAATTTATAGATCTCCAAACTTTTCCTCTAAAGAAAGAATAAACCAAATATGGAAGAAAATTATATTTTCCTTTCAGAAAAAGTTCAAGCATTTATGGTAATACTTTGACTTTTCTTTAAGGAAAAAAATAAACTTCAAACAAGGAAAGAAAATCAGGGAAAAACCCTAACAAATCTCTTCTTTTGGTTGAATTTTCTTGACAAAACTTGATCCGTCTTCTTCACATGCATGATATCTTCGTTCTTTAGTTCTTCCGCTAGTTATATTTAGTTCCTTTTATCACTTTTCATTTGAGTTTATGCTTGCCTCCTAGGATTTATGGTAGGTGTCATAATAATTTGATTTTGTATCGAGACCCTTACTTAGGTAAGATTGGTGGGAGGAGACTCAGAGCACTTCCATATGAGATGGGAATACAGTAGGGATTAATTCTCAACTCTTTCCCCCTTTTTTGGTGATGAATGAGTTAACATGATCTGTTCTAGAGAAGGTTTCAAGGTGTATTTTATTTACGGAAGAATAATATTAATACTAGTGGTAAGGTTTGCTTACCTCTACTTTCCACAAACTCCCCTCAATGAAATTTTACAGGTATGTTGTTGGTGTTTCCTCTGACTTCTTATTTTGATAAGATATAAGCCTCACTAAAACTAATTAAATAGTATATTTGATGATAATTGATCAATATATTCACTACAAAGTGAAATGAACATGCATTTTTTTCCAATTATCCATAAGTATAAGCAACATTTGTTTGGACTAAATCCATAAGTATAACTAATGATTCTAGTTAGTTGTTTTTTCTTATTATAGTTCTATCGTGCCTCTTATATTTATATAGTTTCCTTCTAATCCCACTAAACATAGGATATCTACTGAGTACCCCATATTTGGTATTCATACTACACGCCTATATCTTTTTATGATACAACATCTGGTACAAGTCACCTTGTTAATTCCTTACCTTCTAAGGTCATCGTTGTTTGCATCGTGGTGAGCTATTGACGTTTGGAGGTCCTATATATTTTTATGATACAACATCTGGTACAAGTCACCTTGTTAATTCCTTACCTTCTAAGGTCGTCGTTGTTTGCATCGTGGTGAACTCTTGACGTTTGGAGGCTTGCTTGTTTCCTTATTTTGTATTGTTTAGATGTTTAGTATTTTGATTAGAAATACTTGTTTTATATAGCTCTACTGATGTGCTTTAGACGCTCTTGTACTGATGATATCAAGTTCGAGATTTGATTTTTTGAATATATTCATTTTTCTTGGTCACTTTCAGGTCCTTATTGTATATTTTATATCTTTATATACATATCTATGCTATGGACCTCTTTTTATATTATTACTGCTTCCGCTAGTTATATTTAGTTCCTTTTATCGCTTTTCATTTGAGTTTATGCTTGCCTCCTAGGGATTTATGGTAGGTGTCATAATAATTTAATTTTGTGTCGAGACCCTTACTTGGGTAAGAATGGTGGGAGGAGACTCAGAGCACTTTCATATGAGATGGGAATACAGTAGGGATTAATTCTCAGCTCTTTACCATTTTTCTTGGTGATGGACGAGTTAACATGATCTGTTCTAGAGAAGGTTCCAAGGTGTATTTTATTTGCGGAAGAATAATATTAATAATAGTGGTGAGGTTTGCTTACCTCTACCGTCCACAAACTCCCCTCAGTGAAATTTTACAGGTATGTTGTTGGTGTTGCCTCTGACTTCTTATTTTGATAAGAAATAAGCCTTATTAAAACTAATTAAATAGTATATTTGATGATAATTGATCAATATATTCACTACAAAGTGAAACGAATATGCATTTTTTTCTAGTTATTCATAAGTATAAGCAACATTTGTTTGGATTAAATCTACTTTGGTATATTAATTACTACTTATTAGTATGTATACATTTTCTTGTTCAAAATGAATGAGAATCAACCAAGTCTCTAGGCAAAAAGTTCTTGATTGTCTTTATCCATTACACCCTAATGACAGATGTGGAACTAATGAAAATTGTAGAAAAGAAGTCATTTGATCAGGTCAATCAGTTTTGTGGTATAACATTTTAATTATTTTTATGTAAAATATCATAACAAATCTTTATTTTATATATAAGAAATACAAGAAAATTTTGAGAGTTCATTCTCTTCTATTGAAATCATTAAAATTAATGTTAAACAATTTACTCTTTTCAAAGTTACAAGGAGGTATACACATAAGGACTCATTCTTGATAGGGAGACATACCCCTTGAATAGGTCCTTATGTGGCACAAATCAAGATTAGTAGTACGGGTATTGAACATCAAATGAGAAATCAAAAATAGAGTTACCCATCCTTTTAAACCAAAAAAATTAAAGGAATAACATATTTGTAATACCCTCAGATATTTAGGTCATACACGCACTGCATTAATAATGTATTCAACTTGTTTGTAGCCTTGATGGATAGTATTAGTATATATTTAAATTCAATTTTGTATTCAAATTTAGACTGTTATTAATTATCATAGTTCAAAATTCACTTAAGAATATATTATCATATTTTTGATTTTTTTCCCTATATATTTATCCTTTTCAAATGTTATGTAAACGACAAAAGCCTATAAAGATACAAATAATATATCGACTTTATCCAGCAAACCTTCTACATGGAATGAAATTCTCAATTTTTCAAAGGAGGATGACAAAAACAAAGAGAAATGACAGTAGGATATAAATATATTAAGACAAATTTATGTTTTTGGGAGTGAAAAAATAATTTTAGACAATTAACTTAAATCAAAATATCATATTTCTTAACTTAATAAAGCTAGAAAAGTTATTAATCTTGTAATATAACCTTATTTTTTCAATAAACGGATAAATAGGTCTTTTCGATAATCTTCCTTATTGCTTTAATTAATTTTAATTTTAGATAAGTAATTAGTGTACATTGATTTTTTAGATTTTTAACCGTGTACGATATCATTTTTAGAAATCATACTAACAATACAAATATTTTTAATAACCAAAATATTAATAATAAAAGTAATAAATTAGTCAAACAAATATAATAATCTCAAGCAAATATTAAAATAAAAATTAATTGCATACATATTATAAGTGAATGAAATAACAAACTAAAAGAGAATGAAACATAACAAAAAAACACTTAAAATAAGGAGAAAAAGTAAAGATACATGAAGAATCCTACGAGACAACTTATGCATTTAAAATAGTAAAAGACATAGACTATCCATGGGACAACATAGACATATAAATCTCTACTAATTAGAAGTTATTTTTTTTGGTTTGGATCTTGAACATTAATGTTGTTGAGATATGAATCATCAAAAAAGACATAATACTATCATCATCCCACTCGATTGACTCCGACGATGAATAGTTGTGATAGTTATTCATTGAAGAGTCCATTTGTTGAGGTGTAGAAGAATACATTTGCGGAACTAATTCTTGGAGCATTTCAGCAGAAGGAGATGAAGGAATTATTTGAGCCTCGGAGTTGGTTCCACTAGAAGAAATTGGTTGAGAGGCAGAACCCTCTTCATCAGCTTTAATTTTCAGTTTGCGAAATTTTTTCAAATTTTGTTTCATGACATACATTAGATCATTAAGATCATTAGTTTTCATGTCAATGGAAATCTTTTTTCCATTTACCACTTCATGCATCATATTTGTCTTTTCTTTCATATCATTTTCCTTTTGTAGCTTGTATAATTGTTCCTTCTTCTTTTCTATAATTTTCTTCATAAACTCTTCTGTCGTCATCATGTTTTTTGATTGATCAGCTGGTGGAAGCGCCTCAAACTTCCTAAAAGTTTCTACTGCATCTTCATAATTTGGATATACCATAGGTTCTCTGTGGTACTCACTATATCTGACGCCAGCTACTTCACACTCACACAGAGTACTAATTTCTTGAGCCTTTTTAAAGGCTACTTTTTGTCTCTTCTTATATGTGGCTTTCCTTTGAGTATCATTTTCAATATATAAAATCTTTCCTTTACTTCTTGGCATTGCTAATGGGGAAGAAGAGAGGAGAAAAATTATGTTTGTTTGGATGTGTATCAAAAAACTTTGCTGTTTGTTTCCTTGCCTAGGATAGACTCCATTTTATAGGAAAAATTTAGATTCTATAAATCTTTGAATAGTTTGACTTAGAGAATTTTTAGTAATTATTTTTTACTGAAACTAAATAAGGGTATATTACATACCAAGTTGATGTTATGGTATTAAAATATATGTAGTTTATGGATCTGGTCTTATCTTGATCAATCTTTATGAGTCAAACTTTTTTAAAGGAGAATAATTTAGTGTGGCTTAAATTTTGAGCAAGTAGAATCCACAAAATGTGGTAATAGAATAATGAAAATGTATTTGCTTACTCATTTAAGTTAGAAGTGAAAAAAAATATATTTTAATTTTTATATATGTACAAAATTAAAGATCGAAACAATTAAACATTTTAAATGACGTAGAATTTTGAAATATCAATTTCGGTAATATTTCAATGTGTATAAAACTATAAATTTAATTGTTATATCAAAAAGAAATTTAAATATTTATCGAATGTTTAACATTGTGATTTGTGTAAGATTATAGTTATTGCAGCGATTATAGAAGCACATTATAATTTTCTCTATTTTTGAGAAAATGCATATTTAATAGAAATTTTATATTGCTTTTCAGTATATTAAAAGTTAAATATTTCTTAATTTTTTTTTTTAATGGTATGATATTCATCAAGAAGTCACTCAATTTATATTTTTAAGAAAGCTAAATTATTTAGAGGCAAATCAATATCAATTGATTGCACAAAAAATTAATCAAAATGATATGTTGACGCAAAGTGGAGAAGTATTATTTTATTTATTTAAGGAAAGTACTCAAAACAAGAATGATTTCGATATTTTACTTTGATGAGACTTCTTCATTACGGTAACTAAGTTAAACTATAACCATCTAGGGATTCATATTTAAGTTCCATCCTTTTTTTTTAAGCTAATATTTATCTGTAAAAGTCAAAAAAGAAGAAGAAACAATAAATTCATTGAATTTTTATCATAGTTTTGTCGCATTAAGTTTAATGTTAAAATGTCACAATTTGAACTTACTTAGTGAATTTTGTTTTCCGAAATAACTTTTAGTGTCAATCATTTAAGTTTCGCTATCAAAAAATATTTTGACTTTTAATTAATATTAGGTTTGATATGTTCGTTCACATTATATTGTATTCATCATCTCGTGTTTTACTTATTAACATAACCAGTTTTGAAAGCATGCTTTGCACGTTTGACCTCTATTACGATATAATATTTATATAGGCCTAACTCATGTATAGAAAAAATTTGCAATATCAACTCAATTAACTTAAAAATAATAAAATATAAATGTCATCATATTCATACAAATGATAACGGTCAAACAAAGCAATATATTAATCAAAATAAGAAAGAATAATCAAGAAATAAAAAATTACATAAGAATTATAAGATGATAATATATAAAAGCGTAGTGGACTAAAATTTTATGTCCAATTTATTAAGGAAGAAACCGTGTAAATCAAAAGTTGTGAGTGAATACAAAAGTGATAGAGGAAAAAGATAAATTTAGTTGATTTTATAGATGGATATGGATTTATTAACGAAATGAAATAAAAAATTGGTGATACCTCATACTTTTTGGCTAAAAGATGAAGAATGAAGAATGAATAAAGAAGAAAATAAGGATTATTATAGAAAACATAAAAGAAAAGACATTTATTTCATAAGCAATAAAAGAGGAAATCAATGCCTTTTCATATATTGTGGATATAAGCTCCAACTGAGATCGATATTGAAATGACAAGCTTATGGGTAAAGAAAGTCCCAACAAGTATACTTGTGTGAAGGTAATTGAGAATTTTAGTAAGAAAGTGCGTATATAATTGGGTTAGTCATTTTGGGTTTGGTTGGTATAATTGGGTTTAAGGTTATGTCTATGATAGGGTTGACTTATAGATGATGGCAATGGATATTGAGCATAACAGTAATAAGAGTTTGCGATGGATTATGACCCGGATGCAACCATATGAGAAGGATTTTCGGTTAAATGGATTTGGCATGGTAATATTGATTTGCGGATATCTAAATTTGTAGTTTGTTTGTCACGCCCCGAGCCTACAACCTGGACATGGCCGGTACTCGAAGACCATTGCAGGCCTCAAACGAACCCTTGGCCTAGCTTACTAACTCAGCGGAAGACTTAACTCATCATATACACATTTAAGAAGTAACTAGAATGTCATAAAGGAACATTAAACTGGCCATTAAGGCAAACTCAAGTCTTTAACATATGAAATGAAAAGTAAAGACAACTGAATTAACTAACTGACTGTCTGACTATCTATGAAGCCTCTAAACAACTGAGATGGATGTCGGGACAAGCCCATTACATCCTAATGAACTAATACTAATACTAAAACTGAAAGCAATGTACAAGAGTCATCTGGAATGCAAAGAGGCTCACCAACAGACTCTGAACTGCTCACGGGATCAACGAATGCGCCGGATGCCGATCCTAGTTACCTGTGTCTGCATCATAATACGATGCAGGCCAACTGGCATCAGTACATTGAATGTACGAGTATGCGAGTTGGAATGCTAAAACAACATAGGCTCGAAAGAGATTATGAAAGAAACACTTACCTTGGCTCTTTTCAACTTCTCAATACTTAAATAAACTTATTTCATTATAAAGCAGTTTAAAAGAAGCGCAATATAAAGAAAACTGTTGAAAACATGTTGTCAATTCATAATCATAATATTATAAAAAGACAAATCATGCTTCCGCTCAAAGTCTACTTATGCAATGCATGAATGAAGTCTCATACCCCTATTCACACTAAGCAGAACCCCTTGAGGAACCATGCTACTACTGCTGTGGGAGTTTCTCTAACTGACAACTATCACTTAAGAACTATAGAGATGATAAAGCGCTTTACCTCACGTTGTCGATGCCCATTATATACCTTGCCATGATATAGGAAGCTAACTCACTAAGTGGATCCACTAGTCTATGCGAAAATGATTCATCTAAAATGTATGACCCTTTTCTACCCATGATGGCTACATGGTTTATGGAGGCTTGAGTTAATATGAACTCGCATCCCTATATCGGTGCTCAATACTACTCCCAAAAATATATTTAATTCTTTATGTTTAAAACATGCTTCTTCTGTGATTTTGAGATTAGTGCTCAAATACTTAGCTCAAAGGCTATCTTGGAAATATCAGATTCCCTGCTTGCTTCATTTAGAAAGCTAGTTCTCTTTTATGAAAACTAGCCCGAAGGCTCTTTGAAAAATCATAGTTCCTTTCTTGCTCAAATGTGAAAACATTTATAAATTTCTTTGGGAATACTTAGTTCCCTAATAACTTTTGAGAAATGAATTCAACTCTTTACTCTTTACTTTACTTGAAACTTGAGCCTTAAAACAAAGTTTAAACGTTTAATAAAAACTCTTGAAAAACTTGCTTTGACTTGGTTCTTAACTTCTAGACTTGACTCTTAACTTCTTTGACTTTGATCTTAACTTTCTTTGAATTGGATTATGGATTCAAGGTTCATGATCTTATGTTTATGGATGATTTCATGATGTTTAGATGTACCTTAGAGTGTTGGAATCAACTAGAAAACATAGGTACATCGCTTAGGAACAAGTACGAAAAGGTGGGGAACGAATGGGGAGAACTGGCGTCCCTGGTGCTCTGAGAGGCGCGGGGAGCCAGCCCTCAAACTACAGAGAAGTCTGGCTGGCGCGAAACGCCAGAGGCCAAATTTCAGAGACGTTTTTGTGGCGCTCTGGTAGGCGCGGCGCCCCAGCCCTTTTGCCCAGCGACTTTCGACTTTTCTCTTCCGTTCTTCCTCTCTGAACCTCCCTAACTTCCATAGTTCCTTCCCCAGACACTTAGGATCAATTGTACCCTGAATATACAACCAATCTAACTCGAAAAAAAACTCGAAAACATGAATCAACTCACCCCCAAGCATCAACAACTCAACCAACAAGAATTCTACAATTTGTTCTTCAAGAACCTTACTTCTTCAACATGTAAACAACTCAAAACAATTGGATTGAAACAAGTTGGTGTGTGGATGAACTAAACCAACACGAAAAGATCTCACATACCTTGTAGGGATCACCCCCGATGAATTCCACAAGTAAAACTTTGATGATCTTGGCGATTCTTCTTCTTTCTCCTCTTCTTTTCTCTTATCTCAAAACCCTAACCCTTCTTCCAAAAGCGTAAACTGATCTAATTCAGCTTAGGCCCCTAATTAATTACAAAAAAACGAATTGAAATAAAAGGGTAAGGAAAAGACCAAACTACCCTTTATAAATCCGGATTGGACTTTCCTTATTCTAACATCCCAACTTCCAAAAGGCATAACTCACTCATACAAACTCGGATTTCCACAAACTCGACGGCGGTGGAAAGATCTTTCCAAGATATTTGCAACCATATCTGGAAGTACACCTAACTCATCCTGAGCTAGGAATTATGGCCGTTTGAAGTTGACCAAAACTCAACTTTTCCTTACTTGACAAATTTTCAGATTTTTAATTCTTTCCAAAAATGACTATTTCCAATTATAAGCTTCTTCCTAGTTATTTCAAATTGCGAGATGTTACAATATTTCCCATTTGGGAACATTCGTCCTCGAATGAGATTACTCTTACTTAGCAAAGGGAGTCACATCAAACATACTGTTCAAACACCCAATAAGCACATGAACACCATAAAGATAATGGCGTCATATTTCAAAGCAAAAATTATAGCAATCAACTCTAAGTCATGGGTTGGGTTATTCTTTTCATGAACTTTCAACTGCTTCTTAAGCTCTTTCAACTCAGCTGGTGCCATTCTGTATGGCGGAAAAGATATATGACGAGTATCTTGGAATGATGTCTATGCCGAAGTCTATTTCTCTCTCAGGAGGGACTTCGAGTACGTCATCAGGAAAGACTTTTGGAA